TCCCTGGGGCTCCGGGGGGGGAGCCGCCCCCGCCTCGGCTCGGGTTCGCCGTCGGCTTCGCTTCTCGACAAAAGAATAACGAAGCGCCTCGTTGCTCGCTGCTCCGCACCTCCCGGGGCAAGGGGGAGGACGTGGGGCGCATCCCAGCCGGGCTGCTTCTTCCTCCTGCTTTCTCAAGGAGCACGGATTAAAATTTAAAAAATCTCAGCAATGAGGAGTCCCTTCCTTTGGGGCCTTTGCCGGGCCCTAAATGGGAGTGTTTCTGTTTTCAAAGAAACGTGGGGCCGCAGTAAAGCCTTATCCTGCCCACGGACGTCAAGGCGAAGCAAAGCCTCCCCCTCATGCTGGGCCAGTGGGCACTGAGTGTGTGACACGGCTAGAAAGAAGAGGGCAACTAAGAAACAAGACGAAGGACCGAAAAATTCCAGGTGTCCTCTGAATACGTGGAGGCGGGAGGGCCCTCGACTGCTGCTTCTCTGGGGCCTCGGGAGAGAAATCCTTCAGGGGCCGGGGGAGAGGTTGCCAGGGAGGACACGCTCTTCGGGGAGTCTCAGGGAGCCTCCGGCAGGAGCCAACACCTGAGGAAATGTCGACAGCTTCCCCGGCACAAGCCCTGGGGGAAAAGAAGCTGGGGCAGACGGCACACCGAGAGGCCGACTTGCTGGGCGAGGAGGGAACGGGTGAAGTGGTAAAACAAGGTGTAACCGAGCGGGGAAAGGCTCAGCCGGAGTCACGACAGGCAGGGGGATGGATGTTCGGGGGGGCGCGCAGCTCCAGCGCATGGCAGAGCGCCCTTTGCGCGCTCCCCGTCCGAGCCCTGCCGGTGTCAGTGCGGGAAGGATCTGGAAGGGGTTTATAAATCGGCGCTACCTTTAAGACACTGTCATGGAGGAAATGGGGGGAGGGGGTGTCAGGGCTTTTCGAGGCGCAGAGGGCCCTGCAGGTGGCTTCCAGCTCCCCAAAGTGGCTGTTCCCATGGCCGCCACCCTGCCCGGGGGCTGCCACGAGGCATTACAGCTACTTCTAAGAGCAAGAGAAGCCGCCGGACAGATGTCCAGCAAACGTGGCTGTTTGTCCTCCGATAAACTGCCGTCGTGCGGCACGTGGACACGCAGGAATCTGTTTACCTCTAGTTTCTGTTTCCTAAAGACTAGCCGGTGCGGGAGAGACGGTTTTGAGGTGGCTCTTGTGGGACGAGATAATGCGTCGGGGAAGTTTCTCTTCCCATGGGTTGGAGGAATCTGCGCCTCGTCGAAGCGCAGGGCTGGTTGCGCAGGGCCAGGCTGCCCCGGCCTCCCCAGATAAAGGGAGGGCAGTGCCCGTCCGGACCCCGGGCCGGGGAGAGAGCAGGGGCACCGCCTTTATGGCACCTTTTTAAGATAACGCGGCAACGGGAAGAATAACACTGCGGGGACTCAGGCTGCGAAGAAAGATTGTCAGATCCAAATTAAAGAGCTGGGGTAAAATTCCTTCACCGTGCGCCTGATTTTGCCCCGTCCAGACTTTGCTGCCTCGCACACCTCTGCACAGGGGAAGCTCCGCGCACCGAGGAGTTTCTGCTCTGGCCAAACGGCGGAGCCGGGAGGGTTTGTTTTATGTCTCTCCGCCAGCGATAGGGGGAAAAAACCCCAAATTATCTTCCCCATTACTCCTGTTGTGCACGTCCTCGGGCAGGTAGACTAAACCCACAAAAACGAGATTGGGGCAAGATGCGCCTAAGGAGGGATTCGTGCCCATCTCCACAACGAAGGGAGTTTGCCCGGTCCTGCAAGGCTGCGATTCCGTCTAAATTTCTGCGGAAAAAGTCGGAACAGAGTCGTGACAGCAGGCAGCCCGATCGCCCTTCGTGGGCTAAATCGACCTGTCCGTAGGGCAATGCAACACCTCCCTCGAACAGATCAAAAAAAGCGCCTGGGGGTGCCCCTTTTTTTGTTTGCTTTATTATAGCCCGATAACAGGAAATTATTTTCATGTTGGTTATTTCTGAAGGCGAAACCCCCGAGCCCACGGTTCTCCCCGCGAACCGGCTCCTCGACGGTCTTTTATGCTGAGGGTGACAGCTTTTCAGGATGTCACTTTACCCCCTCTAAATCCCTTGTGGCTCTGTTCAGACCTGTACCAGCCCATCTCAAATCCCCCGGGCGGCACCCACCCGCCCGTGGGTGCCGGATCTCTGCTGGCGCGGATCCCGCTGCCCGGGGGGGGCCGGGATCCCCTCGGAAGGGCCGGGGGAGGGTCTCCCCGGGCGCTGTTTCCAGCCTCAGACGGGCCGGGCTATCAGACACACACCCTTTCCACCTTCCTCTCCCGGGTGCCGGGTAGAGATTTTTCGGATTTATTTCGAGTGGAAGCTTGTACGGGAGAGCAAGAAACGGGAGCCATACACACACAGCCGCACGGAGAGCCGAGGTTTCCTTGCGTGGCATGTGTGGGAAATGGGATTAACGATGAAGCGGGAGGCCTGTCCGTGCCTCTTCGGCATCCCCGCCCCACCTGCGAGCATCCCCACCCGTAGAGATGCGCGGCCAGGGTGTTCAGAGCCACCTTCTGCCCAACTCCTCCCCGGGGAGCAGATCACCAGCAGCTCCCAGTTTTCCCCGGGCGCTGCGTTACGAAGTCGTACGAGGTCCTTTCCTTCTTGCCTAATCGCTTACAAAAACCCGCTGATCTCCGAACAGACTAGAGTCAACCTCGAGAAATAACTGCCACGATAGAAGAAAAAAACAAACCAAAACAAAACAATCAAAACCAAAACAACCATCAGTAATAAACCAACACAGACGCAATATTTTAAGCAAGCGATTTTCGGTGCAAAAAGGGCCGGACGCCCTGCGGGGAGGGGGTGTCACCCTCGGCCCAGCTGGGTCGTCGCTGCCGCCGGCCCCCCGAAATCTGAGTTCGCCTCCCTCGTTAGCCGAGCGAGATCCGCCCCAGTCCTTAGGAAAATATTTGTATTTTAATTTTAATGTCCGGCTTAAGCTGATGTCTTAAAAAAATAATTGTTTTCAGAGCCCGGTTCGCCCGGCATGGCCGTTTCACACTCGGAGGCACACATACATAGCTTTCCCTGCAGTTCATGCCTCGGGACTGCCTGGCGTCGGCAAGACAAACTGCAATCTCCGAAATGTCAACTTTTGCCACAATCTCGACTAAAAAAACCACCCCCTTCTTACTGCTGTTGAGCGCTCATCAGAAATAATGGCTGTTTACACAAAACCTTTATTCACTTTCTTAAATAAACACCAGTGAATTCAAATAAAGCAAACCCTCAGCTATAACTCAAGCACAACGTTTGCTGTACGTATTCTCGGCTGCGGACCTGGAGAGACTCCTCGGAGAGAAATATGAAGTCTCCTTTCATAGTCCACCTCCATTAGCTAAATATTCTAGCTCACTTCGACCGAGCTTATCCCACCCCAGCTTTCCTTTCCTTTCCTTCCCTTCTCCCCCCCCCCACCCCCTTTTTTATTGTTTTCCCCTAGCT